AAAAAAAATTATGGAGGTTCTTAAAGATGAAGCTTATATATCCTTTAAAGAAATCCAGGAAAAGGATTATCAGAAACAAGAAGCTGAATTACTCAGTTTACTAGGGTAGAAAAAAGCACAAATGATTAAAACAGAAGCAAAAATCAGTGAAATTATTCCTAATTCTTTTGCTATCCTCATAGTTCAGTGCCTAGTCCAATCAATACCACAGAGAGTTCCTCTTGTTGCTGATAGAAGCAGACACAGAGATGCACAGTTAAACGTTAAGTGGAGTACTGGGAACCATGGGGGGAAAAGGAAGGATTGAAAGATGCAACAGAATTAAGGCAGCAGAAAAACATGACTCCCAAGTTCATGCAAGTAGGGCTCTTGGGGGCTCACTAGCTAATGTATACATCTTATGTTGTATTCTAATAGGTGGTTTTGTCCCAAAACTGATAGCTGTCACTTTCAATTTATGAAATAGTTCAGGAGGATATTTTCTCCTTTAACTTTTGAAGTGAATTTCTCTCTGGTCTCAACAAAATTATGTAGCACTTGGGGATAAAGATACACCCCAGCAAGCCTGCACCAGAGGCCAAGATGGAGAAGACCTCCACAGCCACCATGACCTTGCCCTTGGTGCTATGGTAGACAGGAAGAAAGGTGACCCAGACACTGCAGAACACCAGCATGCTGAATGTCAGTAACTTGGCTTCATTGAATGTTTCAGGGAGATTCCTGGCCAAGAAAGCCACAATGAAGCTTCCTAATGCAAGGGAGCCATGGTATCCCAAGACACAGTAGAATGCAATAATTGAGCCCTTGTTACATACAATGATGATGTGGCCATGCTCATTCTTGGCATCAATGTCAATAGATGGAGGAGAAACTCCAAGCCAAACTGCACAGATAATAGTTTGGATGAGGGTACAGATGACAATGATGAAGTTGGGGGCCCCTGAAATCAAGTAGTACCTCATCCTTTTTCCGGGAGTTGTGACTTTGAAAGCCAGAAGCACAGTAGCTGTTTTGGCCAACACAGTGGAAATGGCCACAGTGAATACCACTCCAAAGGTGATTTGCTGCAGGATGCACATAGCTGTGTTGGGATAACCAATAAAGAGCAAGGGACATAGGAAACAAAAGATGAGTGAGATGAGCAGGGTGTAGCTGAGATTCCGGTTATTGGCCTTCACTAGTGGAGTGTCATGGTGCTTTACGAAGACCCCAAGAACCACAGATGTGAGTGCAGAGAAGCACAAGGCCATTAAGGTTATAGCCATCCCCAAGGGGTCTTTATAGCTCAAAAAGCTCACAGCTTTGTCAATGCAATGGACGTGTTCTGTACTGGCATACTGGTCCTCTGGACACTTTACACACTGATCCACATCTGATGGAGAAAGGAATGTATGATTAGTGCAGCTTGAGCACTTTTATTCACAGGACATTTCATTTCTGTGTGTTGATAAAGCATTGCAATATCTGCACTCATGCTGAGGATGTAGTTGGAAGATATTGCTGCAAAGCAATGCTTCCATTTCATAATACTCATTCACTATCTTTTAGTGAAATGAAAAGCAAACAATCATTACACTGTCTACTAAATGCATGCTAATGATGCCATTTGTCATGGTATAAAGAAAGTACTGATATTTGTAGTAGAAAGACATGAGATAGAGGCTGAGGGATAAGGAAAAGAAACAAAGGTGAGGAGGAAGGGGTATTTGGGTCAGGAGGGCAATGAGCTTCCTATGGATAGAGTAGAAACGGGCGTACCCTGCAGGAAAATTGCTTTTTATAAATGTAAAAAGGTTACCACATTCTAGGAAGAAGTGCTTAATTTGGTTATCAGGTTAATTAGGGCACCAGTCATGAGAGATTTTCCCTAGCTTGACTTCACACTTTGATAGCTGGACTTGATAGTCAGCCTCAGGAGGAGGAAGTGGCTAAGAAGGCAATAGACCTTGGTGGCTAACTTTAGGAATGTAATTGTCTTAGTTTTATGTTTGTTTGTTTGTTTTTGTTTTTGTTTTTGATTGTTGGATTCATGTTTTAGTTTTTTTATTGGGCTACACATTTGTCTCTGCTTTCCTCCCTTTCTCTTTCCTCTCCTTCTACCCTTTTCCATGGTTCCCATGTTCCCAATTTACTGAGAAGAAATGATGGCCATGACAACTCTTTAAAGAAAAACATTTAATTGGTGTCTTATAGTTCAGAAGTTCAATCCATTATTATCATGGTAGGATATGGTGATTTGCAGATCGACCTGCTGCTAAAGAAGCAGATTTAAATTCTACATGTTTGATCCATAGGCAACAGGAAGCAAACAGACTCACTGCATGTGACTTGAGCATATAAGAGACTTCAAACTCTGACTTTAATGTGACACACTTTATTCAACAAAACCACATATTCTCTAACAAGGTCAAACCTCCTAATAGGACCACTACCCATGGTCTTATGGGGGCAAATTATATTCAAACTAACAATGTAATCTAACTATTTATAGCAAGTCAAAGAGAATGCAGGAGAAGGGCAGAGATTGCTAGAGACATGTCTGCAATGCTTGGAAGGAGTAAAGCACCTTCAGAATCATTAAGTTTTATATGTGTATATGTAAAGCAAATAATGAGTTCATGAACATGAGGTTGATCATGTTTATATGGGGTAAGTTGGAGGGAAAATGAGAAAGGAAGATTATATAAAAATATAATTTTGATCTTTGAAAATGCAAAGTAATTAAATAAATATGCCCTTAGTTGTATTCTCATCTGATAATAAAAATGCTGCACTCATGAGTATTGTTCATAAGAAGCAACAACCAGGCAATTCTCAAGAGCTGGCAAGCAGGTCAGAGACCTGCCTCCAGGCTTCATCACTACCCCTGCCACCCACTGTACTCTGTCCCTCCAAGACATCCTCCACCTCCAAATCCCATGCACCTGAACACCCTCCCTATGGCCAGCCCTTCCTCATAATGCCAGCTGTCTACATCGGCACAGGTGCAAACCACTGCAGTTGGGAAAACTAGTGAGTGATCAGCATTCGAGCTGGACAATCCCAATATTCAGACCCTAATTAAACCTTAAGGCAAATCCCATGACCCTCCCAATCTCATTCCAGCACGAGCAAGGCAGTTGGGCCCTGCCCACCTGCTGTATTACAACCAGGCAATTCTCAAGAGCTGGCAAGTAGGTCAGAGACCTTCCTTCAGGCTACACTACTACCCCTTCGACCCTCTGGACTCTGTCCCTCCAAAACATACTCCACCAACAAACCACACATATCTGAACATCCTCCCCATGGCCAGTCCCACCCAGTAGATTACATAGGCACAGTCACAAGTCACATCGGTTGGAAAAAGCAGCACCAGAAAGGCAGCTGGATCCTGTCCTCAATTCTGATGGAACTTCCCTGCTGTGGTGTAGTCCTATCAGACAGCAAACAGGCACCTGAACATCCTCTCCATCGCCAGCAGTCCCCTTAACCATAGAAGATTACATAGGTACAAGTGCAAACCACACCATTTGGAAAACAGGCACAGACAGAAGCTATACCAGTTGGAAGAACAGACTATTAAGGCACAGGCATGACCCACACCTGTTGGAAGAACAGATGAACAAATGCCAGAATAAGAATATATTCAACAACTGAAAGAGTAATATGGAATCACCAGCGATCCTACAACAGTAAGACCTGAATATTCCAATATAGCAGAAACACAAGAAAACAGCCTTAATAATAACATTATAAAAATGATGAAGCTTCTTAAAGAGGAAATAAAAAATTCTCTTAAGAAATCAAGGAAAAGACAAACAAAAATTAGAAGAAACCAATAAATCCCTTAGAGAAACAAAGAAAGCCAAGCCAAAACAGTCAAACAAGGGAAGGAAATGGTTCAAGACTTGAAAATTGAAATGGAAACAATAAAGGAAACACAAACAGGGGAAATTCAGGAATTGAAAAATCTAGGTAAGTAAACAGGAACTACTTACTGATTCAAGCAACACAGACAGAATACAAAAAATAAAAGCAAGAATTACAAGCTTTGAAGATACAATGGAGGAAATAGATTCTTAAGTCAAAGAAAATATTAAGTCCAATAAATTCCTAACATAAAACTTTCAGAAAATCTGGGACACCATGAAAAGACCAACCCTCAGAAAAATAGGAATAGAAGAAGGAGAAGAAGCCCAACTCAAAAATATAGAAAATATTTTCAACAAAATCATAGAAGAAAACTTTCTCAACCTAAAGAAGAGCATGCCTACAAAACTACAAGAAGCTTACTGACCACCAAATGGGCTAGACCTGAAAAATGTCCCCTTATCACGTAATAACCAAGCACTAAGCATACAAAATAAATAAAGTATTTAAGAGGTGCAAATGAAAAAGGCCAAGTAACATATAAAAGCAGATATATCAAAATAACACCTGACTTCTCAATGGAGACCCTAAAAGCCAGAAGGTCCTGCACAGAGTCTTTACAAACATTAAGGAACCAATGTTTTTAAGATGCTTTCCCAGACTGCTATACTCAGAAAAACTTTCAATCACCATAGACTAAGAAAACAGGGTATTTCATGACAGAATTAGAGCTATGCAATACCTATTCACAAATCCAGCACTACAGAAAGTGCTAGAATAAAAACTACAACTCAAAGAATGTAGCTACATCCATGAAAACACAGGCAAATGGTATCTCACAACAGCCAAACCCAAAGTAGGAAATCACACACTCTACCACCACCACCACTAGAGCCAAAATGTAACAGGAATTAATAATCACTGGTCATTAACATCTTTTAATGTTAATGGACTTTATTAGACAATGAAAATAGACATGTGAACACAATGGATATGAAAACAGAATCCATCCTTTTGTTACATACAAGAAACATATCTCAACTTCAAAGACTGCCATTACTTCAGAGTAATGGATTGGGAAAAGGTTTTCCAACTAAATGGATCTAAGAAGCAAGCTGATATAACTATCCTAATATCTAACAAAATAGACTTCAAACTAAGTTTAATCAATAGAGATTAAAAAGAACACTTCATATTCATCACAGGAAAAATCCATCAAGATGAAGTATCAATTTTGAAATACTATCCACTAAATACAAGGGCACCAACATTTGTAAAAGAAACATTACTAAAGCATAAATCACACATGTGACCTCACACATTAATAGTGGAAGACTTCAACACCCTACTCACACAAATGAACAGGTCTGTCAGATAGAGACTTAATGGAGAAACAATGGAAATAACAGATTTATAACAAGAATGGACATAATAGACTACTATGGAACCTCTCACCAAATCATAAAAGAATATACCTTCTTCTCAGTATCTTATGCAACCTTCTAAAAAATTGAAATGTACTTGAACATAAAAAACATTCTGAATAGATACAAAGAAATTGAAATAACCCCTTGTATTATACCACTATGGGTTAAAATTAGAGTTCAACAGCAACACAAAGCAAAAAATCTTAAAAACTTATGAAAATTGAACTACTCTCAACTAAACTACCACTGGATCAACAGAGAAATAAAGAATGGAATTAAAGATGCCCTAGAATTCAATGAAAATGAATCCACAACATATCCAAACTTATGAAATACTCTGAACGCAGTGCTAAGAGTCCCCATAAAGAATTTGGAAAAATCTCGCATACCAACTTAACAGCACACCTGAAAGCTCCCAAGCAAAAAGAAGCAAACTCAAACAGAAGGAGTAGTTGACAGGAAATAATCAAAGTTTCCCTATTCTGGTTCTCACTGATTATTACATATCCATGATGTCTACAAATGTCTGTAGAGACACATACACACATGGAAATAGATTAAACAATCACTAGGAAAGACTGTGTTTAGAATTTCCTTGCACTACAGTTTGATTATCAGAAATGTTTCTTTGAGAAACTGACACATACTATGAGTTTTCTGAGTCAAAGATGTATGTGATACTATATGGTGTAATTTGAGGGACATTGATGTTGATTACATTCCAATAAATCAAATGTAGGAAAGTGATAGATTTGGTTTTACAGTGGACTTTTAGACCCTTTGGTCAGCCCTGTGTATGTTAGAGAGGATGATCCACGTGAAGGGTTTATCTCAACAGCAAATACTCACTTGTCTCATTAGAAACTTCATTTTCTGGGCAGGGAGTGCAATCAAAACAGCAGGCTGCCATTCCCTGCTGCCTGAACTTTCTGAATCCAGGACCACA